GTGTTCAGTGCAGATCAGTGAGTAAGCACAAGCCCGCCTTGTTTCAGTACCTATGCTTTTGTTTAACCTAATCAAAATCACAAAGCAGTAAATAGTAGAGCCAAGGTTCAAATCTAGATGCATACTTTATACTATTTCAGTTTCAAACTCATTTTAAGCGATGACTTTAGCTATTTCAAAAAACACATCTATGGAATTACAGTGGCCAGATAGCAAATAGGCTCGGGAGTCAGGACTAGAATAAAGCACTAGCTTTGCCACTTAACTTACCTAAGCCAAAGTTTTCTCATCTATGCAGTGGGGTGAATAGTATCTACTTCAAACTAAGGAAGATAGACTATACAAAAAGACCTAACAATATCAGCTTAATACTATGCACTCAATAAATAGTTTCTTTAAAACAAAAACTAAGATTTCCCAATACCAAATAAAAATGTTTATACATCAGATATGTATATACTTCTCTGAAAAACTGACCTTGGAAAAATGTTAGCTATGCTTTACTTAGTAGTAGTAGTAAGAGCAGCTTTATGTAACAGGTGGGATGTATACAAATAGGCATGTGTATACATGTGTATCACTTTTTTTAACTGACCTTTAAAGGTCAAAGAACAACTATGCTCTCTACATTCAAACTGTAACACTTAGTCAAATATTTAGGTATTTGTCTGAAATGCAATAAGGAAAGAATATTAAGAATTAAGGCAAAAATTATGTAAATAGGTTTATTTTCTTAAAAATTCCAAGTAATGCCCTGCAAACAGTTTCACATGGAGTCTAGGATTACCGACTCTCAAAAATACCTGCAGGAAAATGAAACAGGATCCATGCCACACATCATACACAGAAACAAATTCAAAATGGATTAAAGACCTAAATGTGCAAACTAAAACCCTAACACTCTTAGAAGAAAACGCAGTGGCAATGCTAGCCGGCCTGCCTTTTAACAATAAATTACCTAATAACAAAAGCACAGAGAGCAAAAGACAAAACAAATAAATGGGACCTCATGATCATTAAAAACCTCTGTTCATCAA